CAGATTGCGTCTCCTCCGCTCCCGGAGAGTAGCTAACTTCTCGCTCATCATGTTCTCTACCGCGCTCCTCTTGAGCGGCTCCAACAACATGAGAGTGAGTGTGCATATGCAGCCCACCTGCGGTTGCTTGGGGCAAGGGTCCGGCTTGCCCCGTCTTGCTTAATTCGCCACGATGCTTTGCCATGGCGAAGTTACGAAGTTCCTTCGTTGCTCGCTCGAAGTGCTTGCCCGCTCTGATACCACAATGTCACGGCCTTAGCTGGAATTGCCTAAGGCATGAGGCACTCTTGTGGCAAAGACGCGAACTTAGCTTGCGTGGCTTAAGTCGCGAGGCACCCTTGCGGCAAAGACGTGAACTTAGCTTGCGTTGCCTAAGTCGCGCTTCGCCCTTGTGATTTGCGTCCATAAAGATCAGCCCACTTGCAACCTCTTGCAGGTCCCAAAGGACCTGTAAAGAGAAAGTTGATTAGTTCGAAGAACGAGCGATGGACAAGTCCCAACGTCTCGCAAAAAGGGGAAGCTTTACAAGCAATTCAGCGAGCACCTTGCATGCACAAGAGAAAAGAGGGAGAGGGGGAAAACAAGGACTTTAGAAGGTTGAACGAATAGCTGCTCACCGGGTGCTGGGCGCGACAACAAGTTCCCGTCAAGGTAACGTGCGAACTTGCGAAAGATTGTTCAACGCCCGACACTATACCGAAGCCCCATCCAGCGTTGTGCCACCCGGGGGATTCCAAGGGGCTGAGATGGCTGACGTTTTGTGAGCGGAGACGGACTGTAGAAAACAGCCCGTGGCACACGAAAACGGAGCTGTTTTGGGCTATTTTGGGGTTGTTTTGCTCAGTTCGGTGAGCAGTCACTTTGTAGCGCTGCAACTTGTTCGAACTTACATTTTTACAAGCAAAATGACTCAAAACCAAGACAAAACATGCTACCAAGCTGCTGTACATGTAGATGAGAGCAACGAATGGTTCGTTGAACAGAGTTGTTGCGGGTGCGCGACCGTTTGTGATAGACAGTTTGAATGAAAGGCTACAAACCAAAAGGTTGCTGATATGGAGGCTTGATGTAGAAGTGTGTGACTAGTTTCTATGATATGTTGATGTTTGCGTTCAGTAGAGCCAACTAGTTGAGGAGTCTATGGGGGTGACTTAAGGTGTTGGATGCCACAAGTTGAGAGATAGGATGTGGGGGCTGGATATTCACCTCTGCTATCAGAGTAAACTGTTTTAATTGTAGACTGAAAGAAGTTTTCGACTAACTTTTTAAAGGTGAAGATTGTTGAAACTTCTGATTTATGACCGAGAGGGTATATCCATGTGTACTTAGTAAAATAGTCTACAAAAATGATAAAATCTAAACTTGTCAAAAGAAGTGATGGGAGCAGGGCCCCAGACGTTAGTATAAATAATTTCAAATGGTTTAGAACATGATATGGAGGAAATGCCAAAAGGGAGTCTTTGACTTTTATTACTGAGACAAGCATCACAATGAGTGATAATGCTATTATTTTTAAGAGTAGGAAGAGAATAACGAGAAAATAATTTATTTTGGATAAAGAGTGAGGGATGACCGAGACGACGATGCCACACATCAATTGGAACTGCAATTGAAGAGTAAACAGTGGGCTGTTTTATTTGTGGAACTGACGACCATTCATAAACATTGTCCTTACTCTAGCCTCAGATCAAGGATGCCGCCGTGCTCAAATCCTTGACAAGAAAAGAGTTAGGAGAGAATTCAATGGATGTATTATTTTGTTTGCAAAATTGATAAACGGAAATGAGATTTCGTTTAAAGTGAGGTGCACACAAAACATCATCGAGTGTAAAAGTTGTGGTAGGTGAAGTAAGCATTGTGGAACTAGTATGAGTAATAGGAATTCCTTACCATCACCGATGATGATGTTATCATTTTCACTATAGTTGTTGTGGATGTACAAGTTCTGTAGATCAGAGGTGATGTGATGGGATGCGCCAGAGTCCACGATCCAATTATGATCACTAGTGTTTGGAGGAGTAGTGAGATTTGCTTGAGGCCAATGTGATTGAGCATGAAGTTTGGTTCGAGATCGACGGACCTTTGTAGAGTGACCGATTTTATCACATAGTTGGCAAACAACTCTTTGTTGGTTTGTGTGGTGAGGGTGCCAGGACTGTTGATGATTGAAGTAGCCACCTTGGATGTTGTGATTGGAATGTGGATGATGTGGAGGAGGGATGGTTTGTTTGGAGCTCATAGGTTCAGGAGGCATCTTGGTCAAACATTTATTGACAGTCTTGTTATTTTGATTGGCCCTCCTCGTAGATTTTTGATTGACTTGAGCTATGATGGATGGTCCTGACAGTTTGTCCTTGCGCTTTAGATATATCTCAAAGTCAGTCAGCTTGTCGTAGAGTTCTTTGAATGACACTAGTGAGTCACGTGCACGAATTGCTGCTGTCAATTCCTTGTACTCGTCTCCTAAGCCGTTGAGGATATAGATAGTGACTTCTTTATCACTGAGGGAATGACCTATCAAGGCCAAGTTATCGATAATAATCTTTATGTTGTGTAGATAATCGGCAATAGTACTTCCCTCTTGTTTTGTTTTCATGAGACTAGATAGGAGACTAAGCATGCGAGTGCGTGAACGATTTGTCAAGGTGGTTTGCAACTTGCACCAGGCTTCGGTAGTATTGTAACACGAAGATATGAATGGGGCGAGGGATCCAGTGACCGAGGCATGAATTGCTTGGAGGATGAGACGATCCTGACGTAACCATAGTTTGTGGTCCGGATTTGGTACTGGACTGTGTGCTCTTGGGATGTTGAGCATCGCTGGTGGACAACGAAGAGAGCCATCGACATAGCCTAGAAGATCATAGACAAATAGGAGATTAGAGAATTGAGCACGCCAAGATGCATAGTTGCCACCTTTGGATAATTTAAAGGGGATGAGGATTGCTGCATTGATGGAGATAATGTATGTGGAAAAGTACTATGGTTCCTTGCGGGAACAGTAACTGGAGCATCAGAGGTAGATGATGAGGACATATAGAAGATATGTACCAATATGTGGGAGCAAAGTGGAAGTCTACAATGACGACAATGATCAGAGAGGAAGAAATGTTGGTGCAGATGAGTGTCGCCTGAGGTTGGTTGTTGACAAATGAGGTCTTCGTTAAAGGAGGAGTTTAGCTCAGTGCAATATTATGTAAAGCTGTAGATTTTTGTGCAGCAGTTCTGCAGTTGGGAATCTGGGCGGTGAAGTGCGTGCTTCGTCGCCGAAGATCACTGTTGTACTTTGCGTAGCAGCGTTGCAGTGATGGGCAGCACTTTGTGTAGCAGCGATGCAGTGATGGGCAGCAAGTGGCATGGAAATGGTTCTGGATGCTGCTCGTCGAGGCGAAGAAGGTGTAGCAGGACGCAGTGGAGCTGCACTCACCTGGTGCTGTTGCGGTGCAGAGGCTGCCCTTGGCAGCGTGGCAGTGATGCTGTTGCGGTGTAGAGGGAAGAAAAGAGCGTGGGGAAGAGGTTTTGTTCACCACCGGAGTGTGGGCACTGTTTGAATGGTTCTCTAGTTGAATGGAGTTGCAATGTATCGAGAAGAGGCGGCCAGCAGCGAATCACTAGTGGAGTACTCCTACGGCAAGTTCTAGCGCCAGTTTCGGTTGCCGGACAATGCCAATCGTGACTCCGTGAGCGTCAAGCTGGAGGACGGTGTGCTAACGGTGGCGCTTCTGAAGGACCGTTGTGTCGTGTTCTGTAGGGTTGAAGAAGGAGGAGTTGAAGATAGAGGTGGAGGAGAACAGGATCCTGCGGGTGAGCGGCGAGCGATTGGAGCAGATGGCAGAGTTGCCGGCGATGTATCAGGTGGTGGTGTTCTTGGAGGTGATCTGGTTGGCAGAGTTGCTGGTGTAGGACTTGACTGGAGCAGAGGATGCTGATGGTTCCGGAGATAGCTATGACGTTAATGAACAAAGGTTTTCTGCGGTGGGACGGGATGCTGGCAGCGGTGAAAGGTGGGAGGTGGGCGAAGCCTCGCTTGGGAATGTGGCTGCAGTCGGTGGTGGTTACTGGTCAGAAGCAGGGGCGAAGCTTCGCTCTTCTCACTGCTCTAATATCATGATAGAATGAAGAATGAAATCGTAAAGGCAAAGAAAAACACACTTCAATTAGTGTCATATGGTGTCTATTTATAGTTGGAAAAATCTCATCTGCTATGCAGTTGGGGAAATCTCTTGTTATCAAGAATCACTGAAATAAACTCAGCCAACCTGATAGAAGCCTAACTAATCTAGATGATCCTTCAGCCATGAGTACTATACTATATCTTTAATACTTGATTATAAATAGAGCTTCATGATGACCAAGTTTCTGCATGAGTTATTTAATTCGGTGGTTAACAAAAAAAAGAGGTTCTTAGATTAATTTATCACTTTTGAGTTATCAGCTAATTAGCTAAACTAAAGAAGCATTGTGTGAAAAAGTGAGTTGTATGAGAACTCTGAATTTGGATTTACGTTAAAAGTAAATTCTATACTGACCTGATTATGCTCTTATAAAGAAACAACATGAATGCTCTTAGTAAACTTGCTGGTTAATTTGAAGTGGTTATTCTGCTGCCACACTGAAAAAAAAAAAACACTAAACCTAGAGCCTCAGTCATTAGATTTCGGTTTTTTACTTCAAGAAGATTACTTAAGTTCCGATTAGAAATGATCTGGCTGATTTAGCAATCGAAGGTGGCTATCTATGATTCTATATTAGGTAGCATGTACATTAGCTGAACTTTTCCCGACTCCCAATTGGATGCGCAAGATCCCAAGCATAATGAGAATTTTGCAACATTTCCCTATATGAATTATATTTGTTTTCTCTGAGGTCCATTTTGATTGTTCAATTCATATTATTTGTGCTTCAAAACTAAAGCATTTATCATTTTGTATGACAGCAATTTATGTAGAGCACCAGGTTCATTTGTTTGCTTTTCTTTTGTTGTCATTATTCTGTGACAGGGGACTCTTAGAAATAGAGTAGAAATTGCAGTGAAGGTACTATCTGCAGAATCCAAGCAAGGAGTTAACGAATTCTTGACTGAGATTGATGCCATAGCAAATGTTAGGCATCCAAACCTTGTTGAGCTTATAGGTTGCTGTGCCCAAGGTAGCAGTCGCATTTTAGTGTACGAGTATATGGAAAACAGTAGTCTTGATCGTGCTTTGCTAGGTAACCTTCATAAAGTTTAAAAAATGATGTATCAACAAAAGCACCTCGCTTAATCTTTTTTTTTTTTCATCATTTTATGATTTCTTTACCTTGTAGGTTTGAATATTGATGATACTAGCAAGCTGAATTGGAAGATTAGATCTGCTGTTTGTATAGGCACTGCCAAAGGTCTTGCTTATCTTCACGAAGAGCTCGAGCCTCCGATCGTACACAGAGACATCAAAGCTAGCAATATTCTCCTTGACAGTGATTTTGCACCAAAAATTGGAGATTTTGGTTTGGCAAAGCTTTTTCCTGATAATGTTACTCACATCAGCACACGTGTAGCTGGAACAACGTAAGTCATATCTAATCTGGATTTTTTTCTTCTTCTTCTTTTTGTTAAAATAAGATGATGTTTAAGTATAAAAGATGAGGTGGTTGATAACTGGAATATAAAAATTTGGAGGATGTGATAAATTAAAAACTTAACAAGGAGAGCTTAGTTCCCGTGTTAATGCTTTCACAATGAAACTCACCTGTAGAATCGGCATGGAAATTTGTTTAGTTTGACAAGTAGATACTCTATGGACATATATTGCCCCATAATTAAATTGTACCAGTTGATCATATTATACGATCATGAAAGTTTTGGAGCAGTGACCATAAAAATTTAGCTTATCATATTTTGTCAGACCATTTGGTTTTTGCAGTGAGGTCTTATGTCCTTCAGAACAGCAATAAGAAGAATCCATATGTCCCAATTATTCAAGGGAAGAAATACATTTATTTGATCCCCTTATAAACAGTTTCCATATAGGTGAAAGTCATTGGTTGGTAAAGTCTGAATCAAGTATTATCATCCTAATGGAGTATTTTCAGAAACATGTTTTCTAGCAAATTGTTCTTTTAAAAATTGAATTTGGCAAACTTGGACTATTACGTGTTTTTATCATGCTTAGTCTACCTTCTGGAGAGGATTTAGATACATACGGCTGTAGGTTATCATCTTGATGAGGATGACTAATGGATCATTCTTTGCTGGTGTTGGTAACTAATGTGGTTGGTACATTTGGGCAATATATGTATGTTCCTGCTTCCATTACCTTGAGATTAGAGAAAAAGTAACATAAAATAAAAAATGAATGTTACAACTCACAAAACACTGAAATCATGCCTTGAACAATATATATTTGTTTTCTCCTTATCACTTATGGACGTAATGTTTGATGCAGTGGTTATTTGGCACCTGAGTACGCCATGCAGGGCCAGTTAACTAAGAAGGCTGATGTATATAGTTTTGGGGTTCTTGTAATCGAAATAATTAGTAGCAGAAGTAGTTCGAAGACATACTGGTCAGGATTAGGCCAATCTCTCTTGGAATGGGTGAGTCATCATATTCCAAGTCGTAAGTACTCTTTATTTATTTGTTAATTTATATGTGATTTCTTGCTTTTATAGCCTTATACTAATTGTCTTCCTAAAATTCTGTTTTACCTTAGCGCTGTTGTTGTTTCTTACATTCTGTTCGTGTTCAATTTTATTGGTTGGTGTAAGTGGGGAGCATTACAACATACATATAGTTCATGGTATTTTCAACCCATTCATATGCACATGTGACATATGTGTATCCAAATGCATGTGGATGGTGGGTGTCTGTATAATCGTATAATACCTGCTTCATGAGATTATTATTAAGGTAGATTATTTGTAATATGTTTTTTTTTTTCCCCCGACTTTAGTCGTTGTTTCTTCCCCTGATAAAGCAATTTGCTAGTGCCCTGGATTCTCTTTAGTCTTTACATCATATAATTTGTGTACCGTGCATGCACAGACCTGGCAGCTTTTTGGGGAGGGGAGGATTAAAGAAGTGATAGATCCAGCGCTGCAAGAATATCCAGAAGAACAAGTCTTGAGGTTTATCAAAGTAGGACTCTTCTGCACGCAAGCGTCTGCCGGACGGAGACCCTCCATGCCACAGGTTGTTGAGATGCTGTCGAAGCCCATGAAACTAAATGAGAAGGAATTGACCCCTCCAGGTGTTGTTGGAGGCTCCTTATTCATGAACAACTACAGAGTTCCAAAAGCAACAAATTCCAGCAATACACAATTTAATGAATCAACTACCAGTGCTACTGCCGTTGCATCCGCATCAAATCCTTCTTTCTTAACCCAAATGATTCCAAGGTAGAAACTTTGCTTGCACATATATTAACAACGTAGCATCGGCAGTTAATGCAGTCGTTATGTAATAAACTGTTTTCATGAGTTTACTTACATTAGCATCCATTTCTTTTATGGTTGTTGGCATTACATTGCGTGGATATGTCAACAAAACCAGAGAGTGTTGGTTGTGTTTATCCAATTGATGCTTATCACCAACAAACGGCTAATAAACTGGCTTGTAATTTCCCAAAAGAGTTTCACAATGCATTCATTCTTCATTTAGAAATAAAAAGTGAGTGTAAATCCTCTAAATTGAATTTGATTCGTGAAAAATCTCCTAATAAATTGACTTGTTATGTCTCTCAATTGGGATGTTGTTTTAGTTGGTTCTTTCAAAAAGTTCTAGTTATTATTGGAATTTTTTATTATTCACGATCATCCCTAGTTAAAATGGTTAAAACATCTGATTTATAATCGGTAAGGAATTACTAAAGATTTTCCTATCTAGTATTTTGTTGTCCAAAAGAATGATTATCAAAAGAATAATTTAGAGAATTAACACTGACGATGCGAAGGTCGAGCTCTCTCGCCTCGACGAAGACCCTAGTTGCCAGATCGACGAATCCAGGTCTCCTGCATCGTCCCTTTCTCTTCCTCCAACCCTTTGTGGCCGAAAGAGAGGACTGGTTTGAAGACGTTGATCCTTAGTTGTCTAACAATTGCAGGCACGTAGTTCGAGTGGGCCTTGCAGCTCTCGCTGTTGACACCCTACATCTAGGTGCGATCGCTTTCTCTCGTAATCTTTTTTCTTACACCTGATTTGTTGATTGAGTCGAGTAAGGGATGGGAATGTATCATAATGAAAATAGATGGAATCACCATAGTGGTTAAAGAATTATCAGAAATTTAGGACACAATAGAGAGTGCTTAGTTAGTGAATGTCTTATTTGGTAAACGGAATATCAAATAATGATTCTTAAAGCTATTCTACAATAGTTGAGTTCGGGTGATTCATGTCTTCATCTAGCCATAGTCCAAGTGGCTACTGATGACCCAAACATAATCATCACTCATCGGATGAGATAGGAGGTACCATAGAATAGGTCTATCCTAAACTCAAGTAATAACCAATGTGGAAGAGTGTGTTAGATCTGTTAAAAGTCTTGCATCAAAGGGACTAGTAGAAGGAGAAAGACTATCTGTCCATCCATATGTATAGGTGTTTATGGTTCAAACTCAGATGGAGGAGGATCAATTCCTCTAGGTAATCTAGTCTAAATTCTATTCATTATAATGCACCTCCATTTTCTTAATAGGTTTCTAGTAATGATATTGAATCTATCTAGTTTCATAACTTCTTCATTTGATAGGATGATTATGCTGTGTGCATATAGTAGTCTAGTAATCAAGTCACCATATAGAAGCATCATGCCCTTCTCAGATATATCAATCAAAAAAATGTAGTAGATATCCAAAGCAATTATCATGTCTTGTCATAATCCATTACATGGTGCTTATTTTCAGAGTATTTACTTCATCAATATGGTATTGCTTAAGAAGCAGAATACTAATCATGATATGCTGAAGTAATTTTGTGTTAAATGGTAACATATGCTCACAACTCTTTTGAATAATAGATAGGTTAGGGTTTCTAAAATTGGTGCCAATAACCTTAGAATATATAATCCCAACTAACTCGGTGTCTCATTGTCCTTTAAAATAACAACCTTGACTTATTTCAGTAATTCTTATAAGGTTACAAATTATGTCATTTGTAGTAGGTATATGATGCTCTAAAAGATAAGTGGATACTATATCATTTTCATCTACATTCAAATTGTTATAGAATAATCTAATTAGTCTTAAGTAGATAGGTTCACTAATTTGAAGAATATGAATGACATCTAAGTTAGCAAACTATTGAATTATTTTCAAATCACTCAAATCTTCTAGATCTACATACTTTCCTTTGTGGACAATCCTGGATTCGAAGTTTGAAAATCTAAGGGCATGTTCATAGGAATCAAAAAGGGTGATGTCATAGGTTTCATCTATTCTCCTATTTCCTTTGTCGCTTGAGGATCTTCTAGGTGTTATGAATACTACAATATGTATTTCAAGAAATAAGCACAAGAACAAGTTAAAAATTGAGAATGGGAGAAGGATTTAGAGGTTACCCTTGTAGTCTTAGCCTTTTACCAAGTCAATCCTCTTTCTTGATCATCAAGAGAATTAATTAATTTTTAAATTTGATCCTTAGCCTTGTAGAGGGAGGAGGGATGAGTGTCTTTGGGCTTTAAAGGGATAGAAGAAGAGAAAGGGGAGGTTTAAAGAGTGATTTAGAGATTACGAGGAAGAAGAGGATGAAAGAGGGTGAAAAAGGGTAATGGGGAAGGTTGGTTTATAGAGAGAAAGAAGGGAGGAGAGGTTGGCTAGGAAGAGGAGAGGGATTTAGGAGTGAGTTAGGGCGATTCTACCACCGGCCCTACATTAAAAAGGGTTAGGTCGGTTTCTAGTGGTAGTACTATAAGCGTAGGCGATGCTACCATCGGATCCCTATTTCGAGACCCCTTTTTTTTAAAGCTTATCAAGATTTATTTATTCAGGTTTAACACGCATAATTGCTTTCTAATAAAATCAAATTGTTTCTTACTCAGTGGTTTAGTAAAGATATCCGCTAGTTGATGTTTTATATCAATAAACTCCGAGGATATGTCATGATTGCTTATAGGATCTCTAATAAAATGATGTTTAATATTTATATGCTTGGTTCATGAATGTTGAATATGATTATTTGACAAAAAAATTGTACTAGTGTTGTCACACTTTATAGGGATATTTTTTTAGGTAAAGTTCATAATCTTCTAAAGTATTTTTCATTTAAATTACCTATGTATAACATGCTCCAACCTCAACATATTTAGCTTCAGCTATAGAAAATACGATAAAGTTTTACTTCTTAGAAGACCAAGAAATAAGTGCATAACTTAATAACTAACAAGTTCCAAAGGTATTTTTTTAATATATTCTACATCTTACAAAGTCGGCACTAGTATACACAATCAAATTAAAATTTTTAGGTTTAGGATGGCATAATCCCAAACTAGGAGTTCCTTTTAGGTATCTAAAAATTCTTTTAATTATTTTATAATAAGATTATTTAGGATTGGTCTAGAATCTTATACAAAGCCCAACATTAAATATTATATCAGGTCTAGTTATAGTAAGGTATAATAAATTACTTATCGTACCTCTATAAGCCTTTTGATCAAAGTATTCTCTTTCATTGTTCATATCTAATTTTGTAGAAATACTTATTAATGTATTAATAACCTTAGTAGTATCCATGTAAAACTATTTTAATATATCAAAAGTATACTTAGTTCGACTAATAAAAATTTCATCATTTAGTTACTTAATTTGTAATCCTAAAAAAAATATTAATCCACCTATTAAACTCATTTCAAATTCATAACTCATACTCTTAGCAAACTATTCATATAAAGATTTATTTTAGAACAAAAAATAATATCATCAACATAAATTTGAATAATAAAAAATTAATTTTGAAATATTTAATAAACAATGTGATGTTGACCTTGCTTTTCGAAAAATATTTTGAATAAGTTAGAAACTGTTTCTTATATGAAACCCTAAGAGCTTGCTTCAACCCATAAAAAACCTTAGATAATTTATAAACATAGTTTAAAAAAATATTATTTTTAAATTCTGGTGGTTGCTCAATGAAAATTTTTTCGAAATAAAGTCATTAAGAAAAACACTTTTGACATCTATTTGAAATACCTTAAAAAATTTAAAATATGCATAGGTAAGGAGTATCCTAATGACTTCAAGTCTAGCTATAAGAGTAAAGGTTTCTTCACAATTTATACCTTTTTCTTGGTTAAAACCTTTGACCACTAATATAGCATTGTTTCGAACCACGACATCTTATTCATCTTGCTTATTTCTAAAGACCCATTTAGTGCCAATCATTAGATGGCCACTAGGACTAGGAACAAGCATCCAAATTTTATTTCTTTCAAATTGATTTAACTCTTCATATGGTTAGGATTAAGAGCGGGGTCGGCACTAAGAGGGGGGGGGGGGTGCGGGGGTGTGAATTAGTGCAGCGGTAAAATCACGTTTTCAAATGTTCTCATTTCAATTAAAACTGATTATGATGAAAACCGATTTCAGAAACTGATGAGGGTAATAATGGCGATAAGACTCGGGTTGACGTCAACTGCCCTAGATGACGCCTCGGTTGACCTGACACCACCTGGTCAAACGGATCGGAATGCCGACTAAGGCACATTAAATATCCTGCTCAGGCTCGGTCCTTCACGCCACGCCAACACCAGTGTCAGACGCTACCAAGAGTACGAGCCTGCCCCTTGCATGCGGGCACATTAGGAAATAGTAAGCTTCCCTATAAATACCCTCGCATTCTAAACAGGAGGGTGGGGGGGAGGACACCAACATAGATAACAAACCCCCTGCGACTATTCACTAACTTGATCGTCGGAGGGGTCGGGCCGAGCTCCCCCGACCCGACTTGTGTGCAGGTGCGAAGACGAAGGCCTCCCGCTAGACGCCCAAGCGAGGAGCCCCCTCTCGGAGGAAACGGTGACCCCTTCACGATCGGACCACCTTTGCACGGCCACCTCAACGGTCTCAAGGGTCGTCCCGGGAAGATCCCCCATCATCCGGACCCGAACCAAGCCGCGTCGGCCCCGAGGCCACGGCTTAAAGTTGTTTACACCAACATTTTTGGTGCTAGAAGGAGGGTTGGAATGTCGAACGATCACCCGATTGGCTCGGCCGTAGATTGCCCGAGTCCACCTCAGCGTGGCTTGCCCGCCTGAGCCGTGTCCCTCGGTCGTAGTCTACCCGAGACCGCCTCTGCGCGGCCAGCCCACCTGTGCCGTGCTCCTCGGCTGCATGTTGCCCGAGAACGCCTCTGCGCAGCCAGCCCGCCTGCGTCGTGCTCCTCGACCACATTCTGCCCGAGACCGCCTTGCACGGCCAGCCCACCTGCGCCGTGCTCCTCGGCCGCAACCCGCTTGCATCGTGCTCCTCGGTCGCATGTTGCTCGAGACCACGCCTGCGCAGCCTGCCTGCCTGAGCCATACCCATT